GATCACGAGCCATTCTGTTGTCTGTCCTGGCACAACTTGTTGTGTGGCTCCCGAGTAAAGTGAGCTGGGGCTTTGTTCTGCTTCTTAAAAACTTTGGAAAAAATCCTCAGGAATGGTTTAACTTGGTGTAGGGTGGGAGTACAAAAGTGGGTGCCAAGAATCAGGGATGTACAAAAATGCTTTGATCTCTGTTGCTGCATTAGGCTCCCTCTCCTGAAATCCCGTTCTCAGGTGAGCAGGAACGGTTCATTGCTTCCCTGGGATTTCTCCCTGGGTCCGTTCTGCAGAGGGAGGGAATTCTCTAAACAAAAATCCCGGTGACCTGAGAGCTGTTCATGCTTCTGTTGGGGCCCCGTAAAGGACAGTCTGTTCAAATACCCGGCTGAGTGTGGTAGCACAGTTCACTTTCACAACTGGAAAGGAGCCTAGTCTCTCGCTGTCGGGGTTTTGTGACAAGGGACCTTTCCTGAATGTCAGCTCTGAGTCACGTAGGCAGGAGCAGTGTGGGAGAAATGAGTCTTGTGGCAGCATGTGCTGCTGCCGTTCTGAGAGCAGAGCGCCCATCTCTAGGCTGTCATTTACCAGCACAGAATCCATTTATAAAAATCACTAGAAATAACAAATTTGATACTAAAATTAATTTTGTTTCCACTTTAAGTATTGTCGAATGTCACAGACTGGAAATTATTAATGTTTTAATGTCTATCGATTATTGATGAGTAATGGTTCAGTAGGAGCCAATTTAAAGATGAAGTAGGAAAAATAAAATCCCAAGATACCACACAGCAAAAGTAATGTAATTGGAGAGAAAGTAGAAATTATACTGTAATAGAACAAATGCCTCTGGTGCGTGCTCTTGGAATGTAGCTCATCAGTTGCCTTCAGGATGGTAAATTGGAGGACAGGCGAAGGAGAGCAGCTGCTTAGTATCATAATTTTTTTTCCCTGGGTGATCCCAGTAGCAAATACGAGCTACTGTGGTCCCTTTGAGTAAATTTTCTCTGCCAGGCTGGCATCTGCCAGTTGTGGCTGGAGGGATCCAGGTGAACATCGCCCGGGACTGGACCCCGGTGGCCAAGAGCAGCAGGTTGGGCTGAGTGCGTCAGGTCAGGGGGGGGAACACCGAGGGGTTCGCTGCTCAGGGTGGAGTGAGTGTTGCTTTAGCACTCTCTCCTCAAAGTTTAATGTGACCAGCAGCTTTTTGCTGACTTTTTGAAGTAAGTGCATTGGTCTTGGAAGAGTTTGTTATATGGAAAGTCATTAGAATTGAGGGTTTGTTTGAAAAAAGGCAGAAGGACGAAGCTGTCTAAGTGTGGTAACAAGTTGCTCACTTTGTGTTTAACTAAACAAAATTCTTATTACTGGGTTAGAAAATGAGGCCAAATGCTAAACTGAAATTGTATTTCCATCAAGATACCATATGCCTTCTGAAATACACTGCTACCTGGTGTGAGGAAGTCCAGCCAGAGCTGCTGGCCTTTGGGCTTGGCAGAAGTCAGCAAGATTGCTAACGCGACAGAGAAAGACGTTTGGGTAAAAGAACAGAGTTTGGTTATTTTCAGCAGGGCTGGACAGGGACAAATACTGTTGTCTCTTGGGCGAGTGACTAAAGGCAGTTGAAGGCAGAACGACAGTTTTGATGTTGACAGGACCATGGTCTCTCCGTAGCCTCTCTGTGTCATCACAGCTGCCAGAAGCGAAGATGTCTTTGCAGATTCTTCATCAACCCTGTGCTAGTCCAAATTCTGAAATGCTGCAGCCTGGGGGTTTTTTTGTTGTTGGGTTGTTTTTTTTTATAGTGGGAAAACTATCATTCCTAGTTTGCCCTAGACCCAGGGTACGTAGCTTTCAGCTCCTTTATTTTATTCTAGAAAATTCAGTCTTAGAGCATATTTCAGAACGTCTTTCCGTAAGTAGTATTAGCCATAGTATAGCAGGGATGCTGTGCCACGCTACCTGTTGGCGCTTGTTAATACTTGAGGAAAAACTTTGCTTTTGAAGATGTTATTCTGAAGTTTCTCTTCCGTAATAAATCTGGGTTTATTGAAATGGAGTGTTTAATTTTATCACCGTTGTTACAGGGTATCAGTCTCTAGTGTAGGCAAAGCCTATTGTAAATACAAAGCGAAGATCATACTCAAAAGGATGGTTTTCATGGCAACACTTCTTTCATATCGTTATACAGAGAGATGACAGGATTGAACGCTAGCGTACAAAGCTTTACAGCACTCTCAAACAAATAATTTAAGA